TATATATATTATCCTGACTGATTCAGGTTTTAAGTATAAGAACGTCCTAACACCTGTTTCTTGAAATGTAACTTTCCATGCTGGCCACCTCTAGGAGGGGCTGTTTATTAAGAAATAGAACAGCTGAATGACCATAAGTCTGCTGTTAAAGTTGACATCAGGAATTGCTTCTAATTAAAGTTACTATGTACTGTGTACAAAAAATACTTCTTTAAAAACTGGTTTGAATAAACCACAAACACTCCAGCAGGAAGAACTTTCCTAGCCTCAACTAAGACTTATGTTCACCTCAAAGCGCAGTCCAGGCTTGAAAAGCACGGCTCCAGTTGCGTTAACAAAATCCAGATGAGCTGTGCTGTCATTTCCCAAGCTGCCCAGCTGGGTGACGGTATAGTTAACGTACACATAATCCAGAGCACCTCGTGTGCGCTCAATCACACAAGAGATGGTGGAGCCTTCTTCTGCAGTCTGCACGCAGAGGAATAAAAACAAGTTAGCGCTGTTTATTAGAATGACCTGATCCAACCTTTGATGGAAAAAAAAGGAACAACAAATTGCACGTATGACTCTGTCTTTATCGATGCAGAGTCAAACAAATGAAACGTTCTGGTTCTGATGGAATGCCGTCTCAAGGTATATGCCATCTGCTGTGCTGGCAGAAACAAGGAGCAACATCTCCTGTTACCACTGATGGAACTCCAGATCCACTTCCATAGGAATGCCCTGACTGACAGACTTCTGCTGCATCACCAGCTGTCGCTTTACCTGAGACGCGCTAACAGGAGAACTCATTCAGTACAAGCAAAAAGGGGCCGCATGCTCACCCTGCAGTCAAGCATGCAGACTGATGAAATATGCAGCAGCACGAGCACTGACAAACCACTGGGCTTACATTACATGTGTTTCTATCGATGCATATATTTACTGTGCAGACAGAAATGAGTGAAATAGATGACACTACTGCAACTTTAGCAATATAAATCATTATGTTTTTTTGGAATTCTTCACATAAAAACATCTAAGCCATCTTAATATCTGAAATAAACTTAAGACTAAACTAAAGTTTCAACACAAACTTTAAAGAAGTCAAAAACGTAGCTTCATGTTATTATTATGACCCTGCTGTCAAACACAGTGATAGCAGTATCATGCTAAGGGGGAGGTTTTTTTTTTGTTCATCAAGGCTGGGAGATTAGTCAGGACAGTGGAAAAAACATAAAAAACAAAATTAGTCTTCTTTCTGGTCCAAAATTTTACATTACAGTGAGCCCCTTCAGAAAAACAATCCTAGAGAAGAGATTCAATCCAGAATTAAAACATATAAAGCTAAAAACTTGAAAATAACTGTACAATGCCTTCCCTGCATAAATAAATAAATAAATAAATAAATAAATAAATAAATAAATAAATAAATAAATAAATAAGTGTTTTCTCATCAATCTCGTTAAAATATTCTAAAATGACAAAAGTATGCTATCAGTTAATTATTCTTGGTAGAAATATTTAGACTTCTTCAGGCTACATGGGAACACAACATGTAGAAAATGACATGAAAATCAAAAGAAATGGTTTGAAAACTGATTATGAGCAAAGCTAATCGCCTGCACTTACATCAGGTATGCAGGCACCAGTGAACCCGAAAAGCCCGTTGGCGTTGTCACTCTTCATGATGCGCAGAACAGCAGTGGGTCGGGGAAAGGGAAGGCGAGCACCGCCCTGCACGGCCACCAGCTGCAGGTAGAACACCTCCTCTCCCTCCTCCAAGTCATCATCACGGACCTCCACCACAAACGACTTCTGCCTCTCATCCTGCCAGTACCGCAGGTAGCCCGAGATGTTCCGCAGGTCCGTTTTAGGGGGCTGAGCATGGAGTTCATAAATCTGGCTATGGTTGAGCTTGGTGTGGTACAAGCGGACATCCTGGAGGAGGCCGGTGTAGCGTTGTTTACCCTCAACGTCTGACCCGATAAACACCGAAGCATGTCCTGCAGCAGAAGCACCAAAAATATAATATTTAATATTAACAAATCCTTATTTTTCATTTTACTGAATTTAATTTACATCTAAAATTATTTATTTAATTTATTGAAAAAACCTAAATAAAAAATTCCATTTAAAACAATGTATATCAAACACAGAGTAAAAAAGGGTGCATAAAGAAGAAAAGATATTAGTATGTCTGGCTCTTATTAAAAAAACTACAAACACAACTTAAGCTTGAACAACCAAATCATAAATTAAATGAAATACATATCAGAATTTTTTGATTTATTTATTATGCTCAACTTTGACCATTATCAAACATCTTTATTTATACCAGGAAAAAAAAAGATAAAAACAAACTGTGGAAGTAATTTGGTTGTATTTATAAAGAGAACCTTGATTAAGGTCATCAGACGCCTTGGTCCAGCCCTTTCTTATTAATCATTTATACACTTACACCTCTAAAGCCAATTACTGCCTGTACTTGAACAATAAGGGCCAACTTCAGTCACATTGCATCAATTAGCGAGTACAGAGCCAACAGAAAGTGAGTATCTTCTTGTACAAAAAATAAAATAAAATAACATGACCTGATTGAATATTACTATATTTTCTGTGGCCAGAGGTAGAAAAAGAGGCATCAGATTTTTTTTTCATATAACTTTTTTTTTGTGTGTGAAATACCAGCTTTTGTCTGCAATAATTAGAAGAAGATGTCAATTCCTTTCAGCAGTGTTAATGGGCAACAATATAGAGGCTTGACAGCCACTCAAAGCCCCAGCCGTGCAGAACAATGAGGGAGCAACTGAAAGGTGCATGGGGTGAAGGTCTGCGAACATTTACTGTAAATGTAAGAACTTAAGGCTTCTACAGTTGCGGTTAAGATGAGAAACAGCTAAGAAGCTACCAAAACAGCCTTCGCAAAACATTTACACTTGGTGCAAATGAAGCCGGGGACGAGGCTGTTAGAAAGAAGTTTTCACACAGCTTTAAATGCAAATTACTTGGTCAAATTAACACATTTTTGTTCCCTTTAATAAAAGCAGAGGCCTGTTTTTGATACAAGCATTTGAAATAGCGAAGTCCAACTACTGTCCCTAAATCAAAAAATGAACAAACATTGTGGAGAAACTGCTCAAATTTCATAAACAAAATATAAGTGGGATATGATAGATACATCCAAGCCTAACACTATTCTCAGTCATCTGCTGTAGCTCAAGTATGGAGCAATATTTTTCAAATCATTATGCTTGAATTCATGAGACATTTTTTAAATACCGGAAAAATATTCCTAAAGTTCCAAAGTAAATTTTACAAGGAAAAGAGACAGTTCGACAAGACATAAGGCAGACATCTCATCAGACCAGTGCAAACAGAATATTCATTATGCTTGCTGACATTTTTTAACAAAGTGTGATGATACTGTACATATTCTACACATTTAGCTTTCTACTGCTGTCCATACCTTTTTAAATAAACTTTATAGGGTCTTAATACCAAAAAAACAAAAGAGGTTTGGTGAAACCAGATCAGCTAAAATTCTGACACTGTCTGGAATAATTTTAGCTTGAGATAAACGTTTCCCCCAGGTGCTGGCAAGAGTTATTGCCAAGAAGCATTGTTACAACAAAGGCGTAATCTACCAACCACAAAATTTTGCTACTGTTTGTGCTAAGTTTTTATGGCATCATAAAACAGTTGCATACATTTTAAGCATTTTTTAAAAAAAAACAAGCGAGATAAATTAGGTACAACTACTAAATGTTTCATGAAGCAGCTCACCATCACTGATGCCTTCTCCTTTGATGCTTTTCAGCCCTCCAGGTATAGGAGCCCCATCCAAGAGAAACTCAACGATCCCATCGTCACATGTTATGATGACATGTAGCCAGGTATTATCTTCCACAAGCTTCTCAGAGGTGGCCCTGGCTATCTGGGTATTATTTGAGCCTGTGGCTGTGTAGTAGAGCATCACTGTAACATGTGACCCATTGGTGTGGACCTTCACTCCATAATACAAGCTACCATTTCTGGTTCCTTTGGACATTATGAAGCCATCGGTGTTCAGTGTGGGCACCAGCCAAGCTGAGAAGGTGAAGTTTCCTATAGCAGCAGGGGAATCTTCGGCAGAGATGGTTCCATATGCTCCTGGAAGCCCAGAGAAAAAACGAGCATCTGTGGCTGAGTGGGGTCTCCTGGCATAAGGCCTGAGCTCAACTGTATCTGGAAACGAAGCTAGTAGCAGCAGATCGTCCATGAGAGGAAGACCCTGTGGGAACTGTTCAGATACAATCTCCCAGGATACTCGCACGTCACCAAACGCGCCCTGTTGTCTGACAATGGTGAAGGACGTGACATCCGTCATGTCATCTTTGGAGAGGACATCTTCAGCTACTTCTTGGTCTAGGTTGGTGGCAGCAATGGCAAAAACACCAAAGGGGTCATCATTGAAAGGGATGAGAACTGAAGCATTCAAAGACATATTTGCCAATTGTCCACCATCCCCAGGGTAACCGCCTTAAAGGAATTATAAACAGACGTTAAAATTTTCAAGACAAGAATTAAATTAAAAGGATTAGAAAATATTTACATGTTCTCACCTGAAATGTTTACCAGCCTGAGAACATAAAACTCATTAAACTCTGGAAGTTTATCAGAAATGGCTTCCAGTATGATGGGCTTGGATTTTTCCCCTGTAATAAAGGTGATGGAGCCTGATGTGTTTGTAAACTCCTGATTTTCTTTAAGAGGAGTAACTGAGTCATTGGCAAACAGCTGCCAGAAGACTGTTACGTTACCAAAATGTCCTCTCGCTCGCAAGACACTGCAACCCAACAAAATAAAAGCATTCGATTACAAGGAAAAACTCAAAAAAATAAACTTTAGAGTTTAACAATTTGTCAGTTTGTAAATAAAAAGAATATGATTTTTTTTATGTGAACACATTTTGTAAAAAGAAGCTTAAACCTTACTAAAAGCTATTGGTCTTGCCCTCTGCGACAGGTTTTTCCACACTTTCCAAAGAGAAAATTCCATTGGCGTCATCGTTGGCCTCAATCACAACTGTAGCCGTGTTTGCCCCGTACACAACGGCATCGCCTGTGAGCAAACATCAATTATCAGCTTAGATCTGAACCTAAAGTTACCATAGTACAAATCCTACAGACTGACAGATAAAACTAACAAGAACTGCATGGACAATACTGGCATTGTTTTTTGCAATTTCATGCACTAGAGGGGGGTTGTCTCATTAGCATAGCATACCATAACTGTGGCAACAAAACCAAGGAGAGAAAGGGTTTGAACAGTAAAGACTTTCTTAAGTAGATGTGAAGCACGGTATTTAATAATAAACACTTTGTGGGGGATGTATTTGGCTGTTTAGTCGCTTAAAACACTCTCAAAACTTCATTCAGTACATCAACATGACAAACTTTTGGCTTGCGTCATCATCTTCACATGTTTATTCCCTCTTAAGTGGGGCAATGAGAGGAATGTCAACCCACAATATGAGGTGGTTGATTTTAAACATCAGGGTTATTGACTTTTAAGTCAGTCTTGGTAAAGACAATATCCGGTCATAAACCAGAAACAGACTAAATCATTACTTGTTAGTCATTAAAGAGACAGAGGTCAACAAAGTGATCACACTTTGAATCTTAAAAAGCCTCATAATTAAATTCTGGTTTGGGCTGACAAACCATAGACTGTATATATCTAGAACTCTGACGGGAACCCACTCAAATCCAATAGGCAAACATTACCACAATCCTAAACTGCTTTATAATTATGGATTGTTATTCCAGTTTTACGGAAAGAGTTGATAAAACATTTTAATTTGCTCATGTCTTTGACTCTGAGAACATGCCTGCTCTCATCTCTTTCACCTAATCCAAATGAAATCACACACTCACCAGTGGCATTATAGAGAACAATGTAAAATAGTTCATCAGTCTCGGGTACGTCGTCATCTTTTACAGCCACAGAGATATTCTTCATCCATTCGCCTACATCATACATCAGCAACGTGTCATTATTCAGAACAGCGAGGTCATCCGGTGACGCGTTGCCGTACGCCACTCGATACATCACTGAAGCCACAAAGTTAGCCCGGCCTGCCCTTAGGACAGTGAAGTTGGCAACACCTCCTTCACGAACACGCACAACGACAGGCTCTGAGGTGAGCATAGAAGGAGGGATATGGGAGAGAGAGGCCACAGAGGAGAGACGGGTGAGTCATTGTATAACTTACTACAGCTAATCAGCTGATCTTTGACTAATTTATTACCAGAAAAGTAAATGGGATCATCATTCTTATTAATCCATAAACTGGCACTTAGTATGTTTCCCAGTCTCGCTCCACCGGTTGCATTTGACAGGACAATGGTGAAATTTTCCATGTCTTCTGGAATCTTAAACAAACAACAAAAAATGTTTCAAAAAGTAAGTGTAAGTAAGAATCATAATTACTGTATGTATTTGAATGTGTTTACAAGTTCAGTTTAACGTCTTACCTCATCAGGTACAGAGAAAACAGTGAGGTTTTTCAAGTACTCTCCTGCCTTGAAGGTAATGTTTCCATGGAGTGGGGTAACATCTCCAGACAAGCCCGGCTCTATGAACCAGGAAATTGTCACTTCTTCGAAGCGACCCCTGTTCCTCACTACGGGGTACACCGCTGCAGGAAAAAGAGAACAGTTTGAGTTCAGAAAATATAGCTTCACTGATGTTAGGTCTATTTTAGGTGTCGTAAGAGTTGACAGTATCTTTATTTTTTTTCATTTACCCTGAAAGCTCAAGTCCCCTTTACTTTCATTGATGGTCACTGTTAGCCCTGATTGGACAAATTCAATGACTCCATAGGGGTCGTCATTTTTCCGCACAGTGATGTTCACTTCCCTGTAGTTGCCAAGTCGACTGGGAGGAGTGCTGTAGCTACTGAGCACCACAGAGTATGTCTCGTCTAGCTGCGGGTAGACCAGGACACACACACACACACACACACACACACACACACACACACACACCTAAAATAAGCTTCTGAAGTTATGGGGACTGGGCTTTGGTCCCCACAAGGAGCATTTGGTCCCCACAAGGCTGCATTTTCCTGAGACACTGTCCCCATTCAGTAGCAGGAACAAGGAACAAGAACACACACACACACACACACACACACACACACACACACACACACACACACAC